AATGTTCTTATTAAACAAATCATCGTTTATAAATGAAATTATGACTAACCTTTCAAATCTGTACATCCAACGATAGAAGACGGGCCCTCCATTCAAAGCCTCATACGGAAGATGTATTAGAAGATGTTCCATTACATCAAAAAATGATGGGGGCAGTATCTTTTCCAGATTACACATCAGAATAGGAACAGTGTCTTCTAGTCTCCTCAGGGATTCGGCATCCAAAACGGCGGAACATATCGACTGAAACAATTGACTGATTTCGGTAATACAGCCCCAGACGTCTGCAGGAAGCATCTCTTTCAGTGCAATCGGCAGAAGTCGTTGCATGATTACATGAGCATCATGAGTTTTCATGCTCGACGTCATTGTTTGTTTGTCCAGGTCCACGCATCTTGACAAGTTAGAACAATAGCCATCTGGAAAGTTCAGAGAAACAAGCCACTCTAATATTGATTCCCTTTGTGGGACTGTGAGTTGGTAGACTGCTCTTGGAATTTTTTTACCCACGTATTCTAGATCGACGGCGAGTTCGGGTCTGTCGCACCAAATTGTCATGTCTTTTCTAGATGCAAGACCATCTTTGGTTTTGTGGGTAAAATCCATAACCGTGTTAAATATATTGTCAAAGACGTTCTTCTCAACGTGCATGACATCTAAATTGTTACGAATGAGAAGGTCCTTCCAATACGGCAACTCCCAAAATATACTCCTCTTTGTCCACTTATGGGTATCACAATACCCATTTGGCTCCCCGTGGGGTTGCTGCACGGCCGTAGGAAAACGTCGAACCCGGTTAAAAACTTGTTCACCTGTAAGTCTCGGAGGAGGGGGATCTCGTACCACTCTTCCGGCAATAAAAGACTTCTTGTCCTTTCGATATCGATGGTTCATAGGCAGAAACTTGCGGTGACAATCAAAGTAACTTGGTTTCCCGCTAAATTTGAGCCAATTGGCCTCTGATTGATCCATACATATCGGACATCCCATAAGACCGTGTATGCTCCATCCTGAAAGCATACCATAAGCAGGGAAGTCGCTAATGGTCCAAATGATGGCAGCTTTCATGATAAACATCTGATCTCTTGAAACATCATAAGTTGGTGTCCCAATGGCCCAAAGTTCTTTCATCTCCTCGATCAGGGGTTGGAGATAGATGTCTATCCTTTTTTTAGGATCCGAGGGACCTGGACAAATTAAAGTTAAAAAGATGAAATGACTTTTCATGCACATGTCGGGAGGAAGATTATAAGGAGTTAACATGACTGGCCAACATGAAAATTTCTTCCCAAACTTTCCAAAAGCAGCAAATCCGTCTGAACACAATCCCAGACGCACATTCCGTGGCTCCATTGCAAACTGAGGATGACAACGGTCAAAGTGTCTCCAAGCTTCACAGTCGGAAGGGTGAGACATCAAACCCTCTTTGGTTTCGTGCTCAACATGCCACGTCATGTGTTTCGCAGTAGCATTTGAAGCATACATCCTCTGCAGGCGTGGAGCTAGAGGGAGGTAAAACAATTTAGACAATGCAGACCTTTTTCGTGGTTTTTTTCGTCTATGAGGAACATGCTTGTATCTCTCTCCACCACAGAACTTGCAGGTCTCAAGTGCCACATCATCCTTCCATAACAACATACATCCTTCTGGGCACGCATCAATTTCTATACAAGGAAGCCCCAACTGAGACATTAATTGTTTCATTTTGTAATATGAATCAGGAAGATTATGGTCACGCGGTAACATTCCTCCAAATGACTGCAATAACCTAGACATGCAAGATTCAGGAAGATTGTATTCAGATTTAATGTTCATCAACTCTGTAACGGCGGATAGCTGAGAGTATCCCTCACAATCAGCATACAGAGGCTGATCAGCAGCTTTTAAAACATCTTGAAATCTTTCAGCTAAGTCGTCAATATGAGGAACATGAGAATTCGGATACTCATCCGCAGCAGACTGATAAAAGGTCTGATCTTCATCCGCATCGGGTTGATACGAGGTCGAAGCTTCGGGAAGATCATTAAATGGCTGTGGTGGGTTAAACTGCATCGTTGAAGCACCGTATACATCATATGCCATTCTTTGATCCCACGTCATTTGATCATAGTCTCCCCATCCACTCATCTCGGTAGGGACGTTACGAGATGAACCTACTGTTTGTGGTAAAAGTGATGGATCAAAAGGTTCGCCATGAGAAGTCCAATTATAATAATTGGCAACGAAACCTTTTTCGTACAAATCCCACACAACTTGGTCGACATCTTTAAATTGAAGATTTTTACACTTTGTACATGGACATCTGATTTTATCTCCATCCATATAATTCTTCTGTTCTTGTGCAAATTTAATAAAATCTTCAACACCATTCAAAAATTCACTGCGTATTCCATAGTTATCGCGATGTTTTTGGTACATCCAACTTCTGTTTTGTCTATACATTATGCCTGTATATATATTATAATCAAAATAATATATAAGTACATTAATATTATTAATTAACTAAAAGCAGTACATTATTTAATTTGTGGCATTAATAATTTGAATTAACCAACTTTAATTTGTGACATTAACTAAAAGCGTTAATTTACTAATATTTAACTAATAGTAATATGTTAATGGCATTAATTCACAATAATATATAATTCGCACTTAACTAATAAAGTTTGAATCCTAACTTAAATCACTACAAATCCTAAATTATGCATTAACAATAATTAACTAATTAATAAACAAATTAAACCTAATCATCATCATTGATCAATTGACTAATATTTAAATCTAACTAATATTATCAACTCATCAAATTCTAAACCCATTTCCTCAATGTTTTAACTTAATTAATTAGTTAATTTCCATTTAACTAATATTGTGAATTATTATTGTGAATTCACAAAAATAATTCACAATAATAATTCACACTAAACTAAATAAAAATAAAGTTTCAACCCTAGCTATATATATTATGCATCCCATTAACAATAATTAACTAATTTAACTTATTAATTAGTTAATTTCCATTTAACTAATATTGTTAAATATAATTAATTCACAATAATATATAATTCACACTTAACTAATAAAGTTTGAATCCTAACTTAAATCACTACAAATCCTAAATTATGCATTAACAATAATTAACTAATTAATAAACAAATTAAACCTAATCATGCATCATCATTGATCAATTAACTAATATTTAAATCTAACTAATATTATCAACTCATCAAATTCTAAACCCATTTCCTCAATGTTTTAACTTAATTAATTAGTTAATTAATTTACATTTAACTAATATTATTGTTAAATATTATCTCATTAATAATTCACAATAATAATTCACACTAAACTAAATAATAATAAAGTTTCAATCCTAGCTAGCTATATTAATTATGCATCCCATTAACAATAATTGCTAATAAATAATAATTGGTGATAATTAATAACCTAATAATTAAGCTAGCTAACTGATTAATTAAATCACTACAAGTCACTAATTAATTAATCTATAATAAGCTAGCTAATACTTAAATCATCACTACACATCCTAAATTATTATGCATTAATAATAACAATAATTTAACTAATTAATATTTATATTTAAATTTAACTAATTAAATTACGTTAATAGTTTAATAATATATTGTTAATAATATGAAAATTAACATGACCTCACTAAATTACGTTAATAGTTTAAATAAATGAACAACTAACCTCACTAATTAATTATTAAGCTAATAATTAATTATTATTATATAAAGAAAAAAGAATCCTAACCTCACTAATAATAATTAATTATTAAGCTAATAATAAATTTATCACACAATTAAAAGAAATTAGTTAAAATGACATACCTTATCTGCATAAACTCGGAAAATGATGAACTGACGGATTACATCATTCAATCTTTAAACCGATACTACATCACTCGAATCTACGAATTTTTGAACTGATAATTGTTGTTCTTGCAATTGTAATGGACGATGGAGTTGGGTTATATAAAAAAGTTTGTCACGGATTTGTCACGGATTCATCTGTGACAAATCTTTTTCCGTACCGTATTATTAAAGGCTACCGCTGGAAAATCAATAATTGAGTTTTTTTGAAATTTGTCACGGATTTGTCACGGATTTATCCGTGACAAATCTTTTTCCATACCGTATTATTAAAGGCTACCGCTGGAAAATCAATAATTGAGTTTTTTTGAAATTTGTCACGGATCTGTCCGTGACAAATGCCCGAAAGCAAAAAAGTATTCACCGGAGTAAAAAACCGGTCGCCGGAATACATTTGTCACGGACCAAATCCGTGACAATATTTTGTCACGGATTTTGTCACGGATTTATCCGTGACAAATAATTTTCGTGACAAATCCCAAAATTCCGTGACAAAGCCCGTGACAAATTTGTCACGGCCAGAATCCGTGACAAAAATCCGTGACAAACGGCTTGTTTTTTTGTAGTGTTGTGACCTGTTTGAAATAATATATACTTCCTCCATTTTATAAATTTCTTCTCGGTTTGATTTGGATCGGATTTTAAGAAAGTGAGAATAAAATGAAATGTATTAGTGTGGTCGAGTAGGTAAATGAATGTTAGTCACACGAATAATTTTTGTGACATGCCAAAAAGATTAAGTGAGAAGAATTTTATGGGATTATGGGAGTAGTATGAACTCGCCCCACTCACAACAATTCCTGGATACACCACTGATTACGGAACCCGAACGGTGGAAAACTTTCTATCAAAGACCTAAAATTTCATAGGTTTTGAGATTTTAATTTTTTATTAATTTGATTTCTAATTTTTGTTGAATTTTTATTCACAAAAGTTTAATAGTTTAATAAAACGTAATAGTATATAAAACTGTTTCAAATATAAATAATAATAAAATTCATGACAACTTAGACATTAGATCGATAACTTTCAATTATTCGAACCTTATACTCACACATTTTATCTTTCTCTTTCATGTTTCGGATTGATACTTCATTTATTTTCATATCAATATTGCATAAAAAGATTATGTACCAACTACCACCGTTTCTTATTCGCAGAGGCAATAATTAGATTTTGGGGTGGTGTAAAATGTAAATGAGATCATGAGAATATGTGTAGCAGTGTAGTGTAGATGGTTAAGGGAGAAAGAAACTAGTAACCTGTAACCCAATTACCCAAGTTTTAAATTGGAGCTGGAAACCCTCTTCTTCTAAGGCATCTACCATGGCTACTCTACGAATGATAGGCAAGTAACCTGAGTTCATAGTCATTTTCATATTGATGAATTATTTTATTAATTCAACAATTATCCTTAGTTCATTTCCATTTCATTTACACTAAACTTTGCTTCGATTGAACCGTTTTATCTGAATATCTGACGATGCCATCTATCTTTCTTAAATCAAACAGATATTGCAGTCAACTTTACAGGTCAGTTGAGTTCCAAAGCCACTTCAAGTCTTCAAATGCGCATTTCTTATTTTAGTTTTTCTTTACATATAACTTTCCTGTTTAACCTATAAATGGAGTGAAATTACACTTCAGATAGCATGTTCAAAGGAATATACAATGGGAAACACTATCATGCTGCTGATATTCAAGCTGTTCTGAAGCGAGCCTGGGCTGCGGGGGTTGAAAGAATCATAGTAAGTTCAGTTCTTCTCGCCTACCCATACCCGTTAACTGAAGAGAGATTGATGTGTATGCTTGCTGTCCTCCAATAAACAAATGCTGTAAAGAGGAGATCTTCATTTTTGAGAGTCGAGTGAAAAGTGCTGCAATTTATTGTAACTTGTATTTGAGTAGAACATTTAGATGACAATTTGAAGCTCACTGCAGAAGGCATATAGAAAAGGGGGAAAGGGAAACGGTAACACAAGTTGCAACCTGACATTCTGTGTTTGGATTTCTAGCTACATAAGTTATGTTTCCTTTTATGTTGAGCCTTTCAATGTTAAAGTGGTATTTCCGTGGAAAATGTGTGGAAAATTCTGTAAATAGAAAAAAAAAAAATTGGCTTTTTCTCTCACTATTTTCGTTGTTGATTTACATTGAATACCTCAAATGGGTGTGTAACTAAATCTTCATTTAGGGTCCTGGGAAGGGTCCCAGACAGGGGTGTATAAGGGGCAAGCCTCCCATTTACAATTTTTTGACAAGAGGCCGCTCCCAAGACATGAACCTGTGACCTCTTGGTCACACAACAACACCTTAACTGGTGCGCCAAGTCTCCCCTTCATTTGTCAGCCTTATATAAAAGGATAGATCCAAAACAAAACTTTACCAAAAGGCCATTCTTTACTGTAGAGCAAAACAAATCCTGCTCAACTTAAATCTTATGCCATTACGGAGGAAGCTCTTCTAGTGTATGTATTGATGAGAGACTTTGTTTGGAATATAATTATTTCTTCTATTCCTAAACAAGATATGATTGTTGGAAGATCAATATTAGTTTGTTTCACATGAAGATAGACTATTCTCTAAAAAATATTATAGGTTACTGGCGGCTCACTTGAGGAATCAAAAGAAGCTCTTGCAATTGCAGAATCAGATGGTCACCCTTGCGCCAATTATATTGTTTCTTTTACAAGCACTCTCAATTGTATGTCATGATGTAGCTAATCATTATAGTGGTCTTTTATGCAGCTAGACTGTTCTGCACAGTAGGAGTGCACCCGACAAGATGCAACGTAGGTTTTGTCAACAATGATGGACTTTTAATTTTGTATAGTAACTTAGTCAGACATACAATCATTTTCTTCCCATGTGTTCATTCAGGAATTTGATGAGAGTGGGGACCCAGAAAAGCATTTTCAAGCACTCTTATCACTTGCTAAGGAGGGCGTTCATAAAGGAAAGGTGTGCACTTTTTCCTGGCTTGTAAGAAGATTCATTCGTTTTCCAAGAGGCTAGAGATGCATGTGCATCATCGTTCTCGGTTAACTTTAACTTGTACATCTTTTCTAGTTTATATTTCTGAAATGGCTTCAACTTTGAAGTGAAGAATATGATGTGCGGCTCCTGTTTTTAGGGGCCCCTTGACACCATATATCAGCTTTAGGGTGATATTAAATTATTAATACATAATATTGCAAAAAAGTCTATATATACTACTGATATTACAAAATAACATTAATTATCCTCTTTGGCACCCCCCAATCTGTGCGGAGGGAAACCACATGCAGGTTGTGTTTAAGAAATTCAAAGTGCTGATGAAATGATTTTTTGGTGAAGATATCTGCCAATTGAAGATGAGAGGGAATATGTTGAACATGCAAATCACCATGAGCTACCCTGTTCCCAAAAATGTTGATGTGTTTACTATGATCACATTGTACAAATATTATCACACAAGAAACACAGTCAAAGTAGACACCCAACTCAGCTATAAGTGATTTGAAGTTTTTCCCATATAGATTTGCTATAAATGGATTTTTCCCATTTGGTTGATATGGGAATGTTGCGACTACACCAAATATTCTAGGTCTTTTTCTTTGTGCATTATTAAATTTTAATGAAGACATCCTAAATAACTGGTGCAAATTTCTAACTGCAAGCAAGGTGGTTGCCATTGGAGAGTGTGGATTGGACTATGATAGGCTTCATTTTTGCCCTTCTGATATTCAGAAGAAGTATGTATTCCTTCTAGTACATCAATCTCCCTGCAATTTAAGTGGGTTCCTGTTGAGTTTCTTGTCTCCCACCCCCCACTGGAAGGTTTATTGTGACTCTTTAAGTGATTTAGCTTTTCCATGATCTTGAAATTCAGATACTTCGAGAAGCAATTTGAATTAGCATCTATGATGAAGTTGCCTATGTTTCTTCACATGCGAGCAGCTGCCCATGATTTTTGTGACATATTTGAAAGGAATTATGATCGGTAAGATTGGTTGCTTGTGAAACAAGAAACATAACAAACTTTTTGCATTAATAATTTCTTACAGCTGCACCTTGCAATCGGATAATAGAAGGAGAGTCATATAATCAACTGATTACAAGAGTTCTGTTTTTATTCACTCTAAGGAGATTACTCAGGTTGAAGTGTGAGTTGTTTTTTGTTTACCAACCTGATCCGTTCCTATCATTTACAGGTTTTGTGCCGGTGTTGTTCACTCTTTCACAGATAGTGCAGAAGATCGAGACAAGCTTCTCTCATTCAATAATCTTTTTATAGGTAATCCTTTTCGCCTCACGCCCTCACCCCCCAACTTTTTAACATATCATGCTTCCTGTTGAGTATCCCACATGAGTCGACAGTTGGGTTTGGGTCTTGTATATAAGTTCATCAGTTGAGGATACTTTTGAGTGATTTAACCCAAATTAATTTGGTATCAGAATCTAATATATTGGTAGTTTTTAATGGTGCTTGCCCACTTGATGGTTTCAGGGAGCACCTTTATGTTCAGTTTGTCGACCCTTTAGAATTTTCAGCCCGTCTTGGAGTGAAAGGTGTATGTTGACTCCACATATGTTGTATATTGGTTTTGAGTTTAGTATATGAGTGCGAGCTAAGCATCATCATTTAAGGATCCCTTTGGTATGGTTTAAGCCCAATTACGCAACTGTGTATTTTTTTAGGGTGTCAATTGTTGTATTTTTGTTAATTGTTAGGGAAATATCATCTCTTAAGGGTCTTTTTGTGATGGTTTAAAGCCCATTTCAACAACTCTGTATTCAACATCATCCTTTTAGCGTGTCTTTAATCCTTGTACTTTGTTAGGTGTCAATGGTTGTTCTTTGAAGACTGAAGAGAACATCGAGGTTGTTAAGGGCATTCCTATCAATAGGATGATGATTGAGACTGATTCTCCTTACTGTGAAATCAAGAACACACATGCTGGGTCTCGTTTTGTGAAATCTTTGTGGTCGTCTAAGAAGAAAGACAAGTATGACGAAGAATGTCTCGTTAAAGGTCGCAATGAACCATGTTTGGTTAGGTGAGTAACCAATGAACTTGCATCTTTCTGATTCAAATATTTCTACCTATTCCCTCGATCACTTATCAGTCAATTTGTTGTATTTCCGCTTGATAAGTGACCGGAAAGAACGAGAGGTAGCAAAAGCTATACTCCGTGAACAAAAAGAGGAAAAAACTAAAAGTTAGAGATCAATAGTATGAATGACCTGATAGTCATCATGAGACTAAAAGTTACACTTTCTATTGATGTAACCTATATATAAATATTTTAGGTCCAGCAATTCTGTTTAACGAGGTAACTAATCTCATCTTTTAGGCAAGTAGTCGAGGTCATTGCTGCCACTAAAGGCATAGCTGACATTGAAGATTTGAGCAAAACATTGTATCACAACACTTGCAGGTGCATAATTAAATCAACACAGGGTCCTACTTTTGCACGCATTGCTTCCCTAAAGATATTCGACTTTCAGTACTAATGGATATATATGCATGGGGATGGGGTTTGCAGGGTTTTCTTTCCTCATGATTTGGATTCGATGGCTGATGTGCTTCTGGCTAGCAGTCCCAAAACAGTTTGATGAACCATTTGTTTGAGAGTTCTCTGCTAATTTTGTAGTCTTCTACTTCATTCCAATCATCATTACGGTACATCCTGAATGTTCATATTCATTGACTGTCGTGTGTTACTGATTTTGCTACTTTATTTTTTTGATGACCCGAAGTTTTTTTATGTATTTATAATTTTGGAGGAAGCTTTAAAGCACAAGTCCACCAAGAAATGACTTCCACAGAATTGGTGTCTTAATATTATTTCAAATTTTCTATTCCAGTACTTGCAATCCAGCTCTTCTTCCTGGTTTTTATGATCGTGAATCCAACAATGGTGAGCCATTGCACATTAATTGTGTTGCATTAGACATTAAATACCGTCATAGCACTAGACATTGACGAAGCTTGATAGAAATTATCATGCAGTGAAGACATTATTGTCCATATTCTTGATAACCTTACTCAGGCAAAAAATGCACGACAATAGAGTGTATAAATTATTTTCCATCGACATTGGTGGACATAATTGATACCGCCATACTGATCCTGGGGGGGGGGGGGGGGGGGGGATAGAACTCTAAATATGGTACATTTAGTGTAATATTCGCGCAAAATTATTTTTTTATTTTCCATCCTTGAAATTTATGATGATTTTCCTTTTAGTCCATCACCAATGATAACAATTTATTTTTGAAAATGAAACAACCCCCCAACTTATAGATTTCCTCTCATTTTTTGTTATGTTATTAAAAAAGTATTTAATTTTTTTAGAAGGTTCTTATTACATATTTTAAAAATGTGAATAATTAGATTAGTTTCGGAGTTAGAGATGAATTAAAAAACGAAATAGTACATATTACAAGGATGAAAAACAAAAACAAAAATTGTAGGGATTAAAAATGTATTTAAGCCTTATTTTTAATGTATTTTAACCGAACCGTGAAAATGGACCACATAGGGATCGGACAGTGAATATCAGTCCTAACCGAACCGTTAATATCAGTCCGGACAGTCCCAATCCGGTCCCAAGAACCGGCTGGGGTCAGTTCGTGAATTAGTCCCCCACATAATTAGTTATAGTGATGTATATTGATTCTAACATTCATGTGTACAATAAGTCAATAACTACAATTAGTTATAGTGATGTATATTGATTCTAACATTCTTGAATATATAACAATTGGGCAATGTTTGGCATTGTATCAAGTTATGTGTGTAAGATTATTTAGTTTCACCATTTATGTTTTATCGTACAAGTAATAAAGGTATTAGAAAGTCGTATGTTTTTCACAATCTATTAGACTATTAGAGGCTGTACTTTGACTCTCATTAGAGTTAAATAGTTAATGGCTCAAAGTTTATCTGACAATTTAGAATTTATGCAAGATTTGAGTCGAACTTACACAAATAGACCCTTTTTGTCTGCTTTTCTACTTGGAGCAAATACATGTATGAGATAAAACGGACCTCTTAGAATATCCAAAGAAATGATGGATCTGATGCGTCCAAATTCATCCTTCATTGAAAGACCAGTTTATATTTGCATAGCTAACATGTGACTAGAAATATTCAGCCATCGTAGAAATATCTTGGCATCGGTAATAAGGAGATTGCGTATAAAAATCAATCAAGATGTCGAATATTTACAGATATACTAGTGTTTCATTAGTACGGAGTATATAACTATATAAATAGGCAAGGAGATTGCAACAGTTCTGATTTTCACTTTTTCAAGAAATAGCCCAAAACTTTCCTCAAAGTTTTGACAATATAATCGTCCCTACAATATATAATGCGACTTTGAGCTAGGGTTTGGTCAATCTTTAGTAAATCCTACTCCTAAAACAAGAATGCCATCATTAACGAAAGGACTAGGTTTGTTCTTAGTGCTTACCTAACAGTAACTAACTGAGCAAATATGGCAAATGGCCAACTACGTTCAATCAGTTTCCCTGGGGCTTCTTTGGATCACATCAAGGGGAGGGGATGATTGATTTTAATTTTACTACTAAATTGTCTCTTTTACTAGTTTTATACTAGAATTAACTAATCATGTAGTTCAATATAGTTCTTTGATGACCAACCATTCAAGGGTAGAAATTATTTATCACCTCTTTGCACCCATGGGAAGTCATCAACCCAAACACGCCCTCAAGACCTGATTTCATAAGATTCACTATCCAAATATGAAACATGGGAGAAAGCCTCTCCATACATCAAGTCACAAATACCAATCTAACAAAAGGGCCTAGTGACTAAGCACCTTCAATATATCACAAGCCACATTTGGAGAAGACACCCTTTCTCAGCCATTGCCGGTGGACTTGAAATGATGCTCATCTATTGTGGAGTAGACCAGCCCTTCTGCTTCCAGAGATTCAATTGCTACTCTGTTTGGAGGGAAATTTCAGGGGGAGGGGGGTTGAGAATTTAAAATATGAGCTAGCACTTTATCTGCATGTGTGTGGTTGTGTCTGATATATACAAAGGGGGAGAGAGAATTACGATATCTTTTCAGGGGGAACATTTAGCTGGTCAGCAAGCTCCTTCCGGTGAACCCCTTTTTCCCGTGCACTGAAATAGGAGGATAACATTAGAGTCACAAACAAAGTTATTATTTCAGAATTGCATTTTCACCTGCCAATCTTACGGGAATCCACTAAAGAGCCAATCCATTTGTCAAGTTTTCCAAAATCACCGACGTACCATGTTTTTGAGAAAATTATACTACGTATGTATTTATAAAGGGCAAGTACAAGTTTCTTTTATCATGTAAAACATCAATTGATCCAAGCTCCAAGCCCTTCCTCCAGTGCCCAAAAGGGAAAAATGTCTCATTAAGACATGTATAGATGACTCATACTCCAAATCCATCATTAAGTAGAACATTCACATCTATGAATAGATTTCTTACTAGCAAGCAAATAGATTGTGATTTTGTACAACTTACAGGCAGGAAGGCTGCTGCAAATAGTTCAACACCATTTCTTCTACACCTGTAATTCTATCCATGCTGTACCCAGGAAACTAAAGCCAGAGATACATTGTAAATTTAGTTTTAATAATTCCCAAATAAATAATGGAGAACAGTGATTAAGGATAACATCACATTTTGCTGGGAAACTTGGTATCCCTTCGTAGGTGTGTTTGAATATGGCATGTGAGGAGCAGCGGCAGCAGCAGTATGAGCACTACTCTCTTGAAGCTTCTGTGAATACGATTAGAACTTCAGGAAAACAATAACAAAGAACAACAAACAACAACAAAGGCAGCTCGGTGCACACTGGTGTCCCCACAAGGTGAGGGTCAGAGAAAGGGTCCCATCACAAGGGTGTATAAGGGGCAAGAAGCCGTTCCCAAAACTTGAACCTATGACCTCAAGGTCACACAACAACACCTTTACCAGTGCGCCGTGGCTCCTCCCATTCAACAACATCATCAACAATGATAACAGTAGCAAAAATAAAAGTTATTCAGAAACTAACAGTAAGCCATATCACATTAGAACTTTGTATTAAAAATCTGCTGAATCAAAAAGCAAGTCTGCAGAAGGTAGTTATTAGGGTACCCGTATCTTTGTGTTGTGATAATAAGCATAAATAGCTTCAGCAATGTGATATGCAATCTCGTTATAATCCTCCACAGGTCTGAAATTTGCAGAACAATGAATTTATAAAGCACAACAGAGGTTCTTGTATTATTTTATACTGAAACTCACACTGTCACAATTATAGAAACAACAAAACCAAACTAAACTCAAACAAAGTTGAACTTTTCGGTCCAATAGCAATTGTCCAGCTGACCAATAAACCAAAAAACGAAAAAGTTACATAAATGAACAAACACACAAAGAAGCTTGTGTAAGAGTCAGTCTAATAATGGATTAAAATATTTCAAATGTTTTTCAATAATATTTTGGAGTTTTAAAATCAAGGCTCATCCACATTTCATTATCATGAAAATGTAGAATCAGAATTCATATAAAGTTCTGTTGGAGAAAAATATACTGGAGTGATATGTGGTCAAAATACATATGAAAGTAAGTTATTTAATGTTAAACTCCAACTACTCCACCACAGGATTTATCTAATGAAGGGGAGCACCAGAATTTGGAAAAGCCACAGAATGTAAGCGCGCAGTCACTAATGCTATGTACCATAAACTGGTAGGCCTAAACTTATGTTTTCATCCAAGCTACCCAATGATACTTACTATTCCGATATTTATAAACAGAGTGGAACTTTCATCTTTGTCCATAAAAGTGAAGGAAGTAGGCAACTCCATGGAGCTTTTAAATTCATATTCATCTTGTTACACATGATTTACTACCAGTAGAACAAAGGAACACAAAAGGCATACTCAAACCAAGTATTTCTATATAGGAGAATAGGAAACTCCATGTATTTTTAAAAATTATTTTCAACTTGTTGTACTTGAGCACTTCTACTAGAACACAAACTAAATAATTCTACATCAGGAGAGGAGAAACTTCAATCATACTTACGTCAGTATATTTACTAGATACTTAGTAATGAACAATAGCAGTGAATGAAAGTAAATTAGATTTTGACCTATCGTACCTGACGGAGTAAGTCATTAGCTGTTTCTTGCCCTGGAAACCCTTCAAATGTCCATGAACTTTAACATACATCCCATTTCTATGACAGGGTATTTTAACAATGAAATGAAAATTCGAAACAAAGAAAATTATAATGACAGTGCTACAAGGAAGAAATATTACGAGATAGCCGCCATTTCCGTTTTGTCAAAAGGTTCATTCAGCCTACAAAGTCAACACAGGCCTACTTTTAGAACAAATATATACGGAGTAGTAAAAAAGCTGAATTGTAAAGAAAGAACAAATCAATGTAAATGTCTCTCCATCCAAATTTATACACACTAAAAATGGTTCCAATACATAATTTTCTTTAAATGTTAACTTTTACCATCTGTAGCAGTCAATGCGTCCAGTTCCATCATCCAGTACAAACGAAATATCAGTGGCGCGGTCAGCTATGTTGAACACAATTCCCACTAGTTTCACCTTAACATGATCCAAAGTTGAAGTCCGTTTTTAGAAAGACAAGATAATAGAAAAAACAAGATATATATTTTATCAGTACGCAGAACCTACATTATTGACATCAACACCATCAACTAGAAAATTTATCTTATCATCACTCGTTTGCACGGCGTCGATTATTTGCTTCACTGTCAATGGAAGCAAAGACTGTGTATCTCGATTCTGGACAAGAAATAAAAAGAAAAGAAAATGGATAAAATTAATTACGTCCTGATAATTTATTTATTTTTGAACAAAATAAGATAATGAGGAGCATGGCATGAGTGATGAACAAGAAGCATCGTTGCTTTGTGCGAAGAATACAAAATTCAGTTCTGAAAATGAATAAATGTAATTAATACTAATATTTATTTTATAAGTCAATGAGTGAGTCATGTCATCATGTGCCAAGGAACAAACAATGAGAGTCATATTTAAAAAATAAAATACAAATGCGTTAGGTTTTACTCCTTTTCCCCCGGATTTTACCTTAGTTTTGCAAGAATATATTCTTATTTTTGTGTAAAGCGAGCATGGGCTAAAGACATGGATGCCGAAAACAGAACCCTATTTACTGCCACTCTAAAATCAACAAGCATGACAAATAATTTCCATTAAATTATTCAAATATCTCCATTCGATTTCTACAGTTCATAGGCCATGGTGCACTGAAAATGACGGGATTAGAAGGTGCAGAGGGCGAAACAACTGATAGCAAAATATATCTTATATTTTTATCTTTTTGAATAATCAAAACAGTGCAGCAGGAACAGACCTTGGATGTAGAATAAGAAGGATCAGTAGCAGTTTGAGTCGCCTGAGATGGCATGAAGCCACCTCCAGCAAAGGCTGCGTTGCCGTCGAACGGGACGTTCCCACCGTACATCTCAATCCTTCTTTGTTTATCAGTTGTCTCTCTAGGTCCACGACGCTGTTCCCGCCTTTTTGTACCACCTTATAACGATGATTATTATTAGAATTAATTCTAATTTTGGTGAGTTTTGTTTCAATTCCACCTTTAGTTGTTTTTGAGTTTGTCCACTTTTGATACTTGACTAATGTTTTTTAAATGTTTGTGATCCTTTTTCAGTGATTTTAACCATCGAAAAAAATGCCGGAAGGACCGTATATGGACGAAAAGACAATAGTCATGTATAAAAAGTGGACAAAATGAAACATGTGGACTAAATGTGAAATTCACCTAAAAACTCGTAGGACCAGAAGTGGAATTTATTCTTATTATTATTATAATCCCTCCCGCCCCATTGGCCTAATTTACGCTACAAATGAAGAAAGAGAAGTGTTTGGTATACACATTAGTTTTTTTTTTTTTTACAAATTTGGTCAAAGATAATTTCTGCATTTTTATTAGACGAATTTTTGTGTGTATTGTCAAAATAGCGGTGCAATAAAATTGCACAAAAATGCTTAGAAATTACACATGTGTGTGTATGTGTAGAAAAAAATGAAAAAAAAAATGTATAGACAAAACGTACATAAATGAAGTAAAGGTCACTTTCTATTCTTTTCAAATATTTTTAACTTTTTGTTCTACACTTTATCACTTTCTGGTTCGTCATTTCCTGTTTCAATTACTACGCTACAATTAATTCCCCTATTTTCGTTGAATGTAAATTTAGTATCACGATCACATGAATGTTCTTAGGTTGTATTAACTCACACAAGTGCACTAGCATGGATTATTTAATGCCCTGTCATTTTATTACTGAATAATTTTTTTGGGTTGCACTACAATAGATTCAAGAATAAAAGAGCATATCAAAATGAATCATCGAAGTTGTATGAATGATACTCTCCCCGTCCTCCTATAATTGTTCAATTTTTTCATTTTTGATGTCTCTTTATTATTATCTCATACCATATTTGGTAACATTTGTGTGGCTCTAATTCATTCTTACTTTATTTTCATTTTATCAACTCATTATCAACCACATAATTCTATCTTTTCTTAAAAATCACACCACTCCCTTCTGTACCGATATTAGAGAGACGGAGGGAGTACGTGTTTTCTAAACAACAAGTTCTTAAAGTGGCATATGTGGAATACAATAACAAGACACTATGATAATAGAGAACTTATGATGCATTTGGAAGTAAAAGTACATTTTATTTTATAGAGTACCAATGTAGAATTTTTGAAAATCCGACATAGTAGTGCACTTTTATATATATATCTAAAGTGTGTTTGGTAAAAGTGCATTTTATTTTGTATAATGTAGAATTTTAAAAATATGATATTTAAGTGCACATTGTAGTTACTACGTACTCCCTCCGTCCCTTAAAATTTTGTCATCTTTCCTTTTTGGGACGTCCCAAAAAACTTGTCACTTTCCCTTTTAATCAATTATTTTGTGGTTTCTGTTATTTCTCTCTCCTCTGCACAAATCTCAACCATACAGTTTTTACTTTATTATTCTCCGTACCGGTCAACTTTGGCAAAGTTTTAAAGGACGGAGGTAGTATTAAATTAGTTCACACCCTTTCATAGGATGGAGGCCCGAACCGGACCCGAACCGAGGCCCGAACCGGACCCAGTCCATCCCTACTTCTTCGGCTTATTTTTTCCTCTTCGACTCTCAACGCCCACTTTGACTTGATTTTTTCCTTTAGATTTTACAATGTCAGCAAGTTCTGACTATCATTGATTTTAGCGATTCATTGAGGATTTGAGCGATTAATATTTTGCCACTTAGTAATTGCCTCATGCCCTCATTATTGAAAAATACACAAATAGAAACATGTATGCTTTTGTTATAGAAGCAAGTTAATTCTACTTAGGAGTATTTGTATATAGTTATCCTCTTTATAGGATCAATTAATTACTCATGTTAAACATTATTTCCATAAAAATATCTACATACGCACTTTAGATGATTTTTTCTCTTCTACAGGTAACTTTCTAATAGAAAAACACCCTTAGGCGGGCCATGATATTATGGTTAAAGAATTGGTTAGATTTGCTAATAAAGATTTCATTTGAATAATTTCTTTTACACCACTTGCCATTGTGGCATTGTGCTATCCTTTTTTAATAACTAATGAGTCACTCTTATGTTAGATATTTTGGGAGTTTGTTCTAATTTACTTCTCATTCTATCTTCCGTGCTCTTTTGTAAAAAGGATTCAAACACATGATAAAATCTGAACTTTTACTTTTAAAACCATCATTGTAATTTATTATTTAATATTATAAAGTCAAGTTACATGCTATTTAACATACTAGTATTGAAATATTTAAGTAGGATGAAAGACTTGAGTTGGAACACAAGGGAAAGAATGATGAAAGCCAAAGGGTATAATTACAAGAAAATAAATTTTCAGCTCAGCGTAAATAAATGTGATGTACTTTTTGGCAAATGGTGGACTGTATTTTAGACCCTCCTATAGTAAGCGTCAAAGGCAAATTAATACTCCTTAGTACACTTCGAAAGGCATCCAAGCGTGTCCATCATCATCAGCACACACAGGAATGATGTATTCAAATTTGGACAGAACAAAGAAACAATGCACAAAAGCATAGATATACAAGGCAACAAATCAAAATAATTTGTTGTATTGACTGGTGAGAGAATCTCTCAGATTGGAATATACGCTATAGAGTGAGTACTGGCGAAGGTTCTTCACTTCGTACCATGAGTTGAAAACTGAATCATGCTCATCAGTCCCAGAAAATGCAACTTGTATCCCAAGGCTACAGTCCACATTGCCACCTCTGTTTTTGCATGCATTGACCTTCATAGCACAATCTTGACCATTGAGGCATGCAAAGTTTGATGAGGCATGTTTGCATGATGCACACCCGTCCCTCTTCCAGTAAAGGTTTTGCAGCCTGCCCTTTTTGAATTCAAGAACCTGGCTCTCACAAAATGTCATTGCTTTAGCTGTTAAACAGACATTATAGCTTCGTTTGGTAGTCATAATCGGCTTATTCTATTTATTCTACTTATCAGCAAAACAAGTAACTTTGGCTGAAATGGATGTTAATGATCACTTATCCTTTTCATAATATTCAACAGGAAATAATAGCCCTTACCAAACAGGCCATAGCTACTTTGTGTGAAATGATGCATAATGTACTCCTTACCAATGTAAAGCTTGTCACAATGTAGGTACCATTTGCAACAAAAGCAGGGATAGACCTAGCAGCGTATTTCCGACCAGCAAATGCCACCATATACCCACCATAGGTATCCTGTTCAAGTAATTAAGAACATACATTACTTATGTATCATGACAAACAAATTTAATAACAAGAAACAAACAAAGATCACAGAAAAACCGTAGATACAGGGTGGAAGGTGTTGAGCAATAGAAGTTTGGATTGCATTTATTCTTCTATTTTTTCACATTTACAACAGTGTGCATTACATAGATAAACATTGTAAAAAAGCTAGTTGGGTTGTACGTTTTGATAACTAGGCAAGAAGTGTGCTACATTGAAATATTCAACAATGCCCATCAAGCTATAGGATTATATGCTCAAAGGGATGTCTTGCAAGCCTCGTCTATATAAGGGCTTTTAGCTACAAATATGGATATTAAAGAGTGTGATGATTGATGAAGTTAGAGGATGTCAAGTAAATCTTCAATTCCTTCCTAATCTTTATATATATAACAATGAAATTGTCTATCAAAAACCTGTTCCCGCCTAATCTATTTGTGTATAACACATAATATTGTAGTGGAGTATATTAGTATAACCGCTGTGCTGCTAAACTTGATTAATACACATGACCTAATTATAACAATGTAAAATCAACGTGCCCTTATAATAATAATGGAATGAGAAAGAATAACTGCTTTTAAAATTAAAGTAAAATTAAAAAATCATTCAATAGAACCCACGATGCATATATGATACGAGTATGACTGACCACAAGCAATTCCTGAAAGTTCCATTTAGAGTTTGACAGAATGCATTGCACATATATATACAAAACTCGATTTGTATATAAACTACAAAAATGTTTGGAATTTAAAACACCTTTGACAAAAAATACAATCTTCGATATGTATGGCAGTTATAATGTTTAATCATTGACACACGCTCCTCGATCACTTATGCATAATAGGTACCGAACCGTTGTTATAATTAAACTCCGATGATTGTATCAATCTATACTTCTAAGTCCAGCCCAACTATGGAGGAATTTCAGTTTATGACTTCTAATAGTTTTTTTGCAGCCTTGAATAGTAGATGTTTCAAAAATGAGATAGATGGGGAGATGGTGAGATGAACGCATTGAAAATCTACTCGGCCTTAAGGTTGATGTTGATGTGTTGCCGTGTTGGTCTAACATACATGAAAAGATGTCAACAGCACTTTAGAATTGATTTTCTATGACCCAAAGGTGTCTTATGGCAAGCACTTTTAAAACTTATGTTAAGCACATTTCTATAACACCTTTGAGCACTAATAAATACGGAGTAATATAATAACATCGCTTACACTGATTCACAGTAGATTTTGTTGAAAGTTGTAGATTTCGTTGTTTCACACGACACATTAAATAGAAGACACACAAATAAGTTTAAGAGCTGCCAAAATCTTCTAATTAATGACTCATACGAGATAAAATATGCTTATGTTACAGCCTTAACTACAGTATAGCTCATTGTTTCCTGATTTCGTAGCATATAAAATAAATATCTAACAGATTTAACATAACTAAATACATACGGAGTATTTTTCAATTTAAGCAAATTTATAAATAAATCACAAAATCCTAACCTTAGTGTATAGTCTTACCTAAAAGAATAAAAAAATAGTCTTACCCATAAGAAGTAATTAATCTACCTGTTTTTCAAATAGCTTAGCATTCATATTGTTAGAGTAATGTTCTATGGTTTGACCTCTAATTACATAAAATACGGGTATAAATTTTGAACCCACAGACACAATGAGGAAACAAAGCTCTACATGAAATTTCTTCCACGCAAGCAAAACAGTTGTAAATATATTTTAAATATTGAGATTGTTATACATGAGAAAAACATCCCTATATTACATGTCAATTAAAATCTCCGGGTAAATAAGAAAGAAGAAAGCATAATTAAGTTTCTTTTCATAATAACACATACATATTTAATTTCATGGATCTTCCTTGAACGTAAATATATCTATATTACCATTTCTTTAAAACCTAATGCATATAAAATACCACAAATGAATAAAGTTATATTCCGTGCATCGCACGGGTACAGTACTAGTCTATTATAATAATGTTTCACTAAACAGTATGTGATGTTTCCCGGATCATTACATGATTGACCTAAATTTAACAAATTCAACTTCATTGAAACTCGATCTTGACTCGAAACTTCACTTTAGACTTTAATTAACGACTTAGCACAATTCTTGAAGAATTAAAGTCAATATCACTAACACAACCTTCTCTTATTAGCTATCCGCTAATTCAATCAGCTACTGGTTCAATGACATGCACTAACTGGATGACAATTCTATTATATACAAAGATAGTGTGGACTATATTCCACATTTGTACGTGTGGATGACAAATCTGTACTGCTTTACATTTGTTCATTTACATGAAAATAAATTGATGTGTCCTATTAATTACTAATGAGAGGGAGGAATTATACTAAAAGATTTGCATGAGCCTGAGGAATTGAATACAAGTAGCCACATTCTCATTCCCTTGGAGTTACAAACGGTAAAACTGATTTAGCTTGATATTTTGAAACAAATCAACACGCAAATGACAAGATGCAGAGTGAATGGGTGCAAAATGGCATAGCTAGATGGCAGTCAGAAAGGAAGCGTTAAAGGCACCTTACAATTGGTTTAGTATGTGCAGCTGGTCTTATAAAGTAAGGACGAACTATACCTTGGGCTTTAGCCTTTTGGATTTTAGTTATAGTTTCCAATTCCATTGAGAAGCTTAATATATATTGCTCATTGGATGCTGAATGCATATTTTGAGGTTTCCCAGACTAAGGTAGAATTAAAACTATGTCTTTTTTGCTCTCCAATTTACTCCACCCAAAACTATCTCATTCTTAGCCAGAATGTTCTTCCTTTCTCAGTCTCACTACCTTCTTTTTGTTTATTATTTGTGAATTGTTCAAAGAGCTTGGGCAGTTGAATTAGAATTTAGAAACCTAAACCTAAAGAAAACCTAATTCCGCTCTTCCCTTCTCAACATGGAACTATTGGCCCAAAATGTAACTTTTCAGATATTGATTTCTTAGTAGTAGCCCCAAATATAAGTACGACATAGCCCTATGGAATATTAATTAACGGATCAAACTTCACACCCAAATACCATCTACTCCTGAAAGTAACTACAACAACAATTTATCAAATATCATATCTATATACACGAACATGCACATATGAACAAGTCTTAATTTTTTTTTACCGGAAAGAAGGTCGAGGTGTTGATTGTGAGGAGCGAGATCTCGTCAACTTTGGGTCGGAAAACAGCGATCTGGGCGTTTCCAGCGAGAGAAAGGCGAGTATCACAGGGGGAGAGCTGAACGGCGTTTCTGTTGTTGATGGCGAAGGTCGCGTTTCTGGGGGCAAATGCAACACCGAAGGTGAACCCGTCGGACCTCTGTACCGTTGCGTCAGTACAAGGCGAGTATACGCGATTAGTGTCGCTGCTCGACTGAGATGAGAGAAAGAGAGTTGATACGAGCAGTAGAATGTGCATCGCGTATGGCAGCGCCATGGTAGTTAATTCGAGGTCGAATGGCGATGAAACGACTGAAATGGCCAGATAGTCCAATTAAAGCTAGTTCTGGCCTTTTGTTTTGCTTATCTATTGCTTCCTCCCTGCACCAATTCTAGTGGAGGATGATTGCATTGCAGCTGGAATAACAGATCCATCCCATTCGAAAATATGGATGAACACGGGAAAACTTTATGGTACTCCCTTACTTCAACAATTTTGTTTAGGTTTTTCATTCTATTTTAGATACGTAAATAAGAATAAGGTGACAAATCTACCCATACTTTTATTTTTTATTCATTAACTTAATGGGCAAAAGTGTAAAAAATAAGCATCGTTTATTGTCATTCCTTAATTTTTGTGTCGGTCAAAGTTTAATTCAATTCGGGACGGAGGGAGTAGTAATTAATAATATTACCTCCCTCCCACTCAACTTTATAAATTTACTCAACTTGATGTTAGGTAAAAATATTAAAATTTGTATGATTGAGGTTTGTGCAGAGAAGAGAGAAATGAACAGAGCCACAAAAACATTGCTTTAAAAGGAAAGTGGCAAAGTTTTTTTTGAAAAAAAAAAAAGTTGACAAAGTCCAGTGGGACGGAGAGAGTAAATGATTAAGTGAATCAAGTGGTGGAGCGGGATCAATATCTCTTTGATCAAATCCTATGATCGTGTCAATAATTCTATCATGTTGTGTTTCTTGTGTGTGAAAGAAGACAACTTGTCAACTTACTTAATGTAATAAAGGTAAAGAAATAATATTTTCTTGACAATAAAAGGTAGAAGAACAGAATAAAACCCCGCTTTTACCAGCCATCGAGAAGGGGTGATTTGACCTGTCACCACTAAAGGTAAAGAGTCAGACCAACTATTCACTACTCATAAGTTTTTCCTCTTGTTTGACCATTGAACTCCTCTCATCTCCAAGGGGTTCAGTAAATATGTAAACAATGTCATCCCCTTGGCATCACCACTTGTCCATTTTTTGGATCTTCCGCATATACCTTCATGTTGACCCGGGTGTCCTCTTTGATATCGGCTCCATCACTCTGCGCTTTTAGAGCTCTTCCTCTTGGGAATGAGATATGCCTTTACATTTAGAGAGCAATCCTTTCACAATATAATTGTTCGTCTCCTCAAAACTCGCACTGCCCTTTCCAGAACATTCTCAATCTCTTCCTCACGTGAGCTGGATCCGCTTCTGCTAGGGATCAATTACTTATTACCTAAATGCACTCCTCTTCTCATATTAGCACACATCCAAACCCCATATGGCTTCTCTCTTGTCCAAGTAGAGGAGTGGGTATTAGATGGACAAAAATGATCAACATGTCCCAAGATTCCACAAATGAGGTAGAACATTGAAAGACGCTCATACTTCAATTATGCTCAGAATCCGTAAGATGGGTCTTCAAACACCCCCATCGTACACTCATCAACTGCAATGAATGAACCAATTGTGTTCCCAATACCACGTGCAACTTTCTCTACCATCAAGCCTAGAGATAGGTTATTGACTTGACCCAAAAATCAACACTGTCCAACACCACCTCAGGTGGTCTATCCATCAACCCTAGCCAACATATTGCCATCAAATTTTGATCGAAGGTCCAGGGTCCGTCCTGAAAGTATCCGATTGATATCCCCCTTCATGGTAGAACTATAGTAGAAATTTTGAGTCCCTCATTTAATCAATTGAAACACCTTTGACACGTCTCCAGACAATCGCCATGTTTGCTCGATGCGCAATGGGACGGATAGGTTCAGTAAATATGTAAACAATGTCGTCCCCTTGGCATCACCACTTGTCCATTTTTTGGATCTTCCGCATATACCTTCATGTTGACCCGGGTGTCCTCTTTGATATCGGCTCCATCACTCTGCGCTTTTAGAGCTCTTCCTCTTGGGAATGAGATATGCCTTTACATTTAGAGAGCAATCCTTTCACAATATAATTGTTCGTCTCCTCAAAACTCGCACTGCCCTTTCCAGAACATTCTCAATCTCTTCCTCACGTGAGCTGGATCCGCTTCTGCTAGGGATCAATTACTTATTACCTAAATGCACTCCTCTTCTCATATTAGCACACATCCAAACCCCATATGGCTTCTCTCTTGTCCAAGTAGAGGAGTGGGTATTAGATGGACAAAAATGATCAACATGTCCCAAGATTCCACAAATGAAGTAGAACATTGAAAGACGCTCATACTTCAATTATGCTCAGAATCCGTAAGATGGGTCTTCAAACACCCCCATCGTACACTCATCAACTGCAATGAATGAACCAATTGTGTTCCCAATACCACGTGCAACTTTCTCTACCATCAAGCCTAGAGATAGGTTATTGACTTGACCCAAAAATCAACACTGTCCAACACCACCTCAGGTGGTCTATCCATCAACCCTAGCCAACATATTGCCATCAAATTTTGATCGAAGGTCCAGGGTCCGTCCTGAAAGTATCCGATTGATATCCCCCTTCATGGTAGAACTATAGTAGAAATTTTGAGTCCCTCATTTAATCAATTGAAACACCTTTGACACGTCTCCAGACAATCGCCATGTTTGCTCGATGCGCAATGGGACGGATAGGTTTGTCCATTACCACACTCGCCATTTCCAAGAAACGTGGCATCGCCATCGCTCCATCTCCTTCTCCCACAGCATCACTGTAAAAAACCAGCCCCTATCCTCTTTTTCCTCTATAACCATTCCATTATAACCCTTCGCCAATATCTCCCTCATGCACCCCTTGTACACAAAAACAGCCACCAAAGCATCTTAAAGAAACGAACAAACAACAATTCTACTACAACCCTCCACTAAGTTTTCCATTGGGCCACTGAGAGTATAGAGAGTAGAAAACTAAAACCCTCAACACACACCGGCCACATACCGGTGTAAAGTAAATAGAGGCCTACACCACATCTAATGGATTCTAGCCAAGAAGAATAATCCTTTTCATGTAACCCGCCAAATCAGAACAAATAAGGCCAAATCGTTCACAATGAATGTAAGACAAAACTTTGGCAAACAACCGTGGCTGCCGGACTAAACCAACAAAAAAGTCAACAAATTGAAAATAAAAGAAAACAATGAACCAAACACACGTCGAACCTTCAGTCCAGTCATAGAGTGAAACAACGACGAGGCAACATTCCCCTTCCCATACGCGAGTTCGCTCTGGTCCAAACTCCAGCCTAGATTGTGGAATCCTCAGAGTCGGCCGGCCCTCCTCCTAATTCTATCATGTTGTTAAGTTTTAAAATTTGATCAAAGACATATTTGATATACTTTGATGGAAAACACGATGTATCCCTTGCAATTTCAAATGTATTTTATTGATGGGATGTATAATCTTTTAAGCTAGCTTTTTAGTGATATATAAAAAATAAGCTTAGATATATTAAGTTATTTCTTGATGTGATCACATTTCTATCTACTTCTATATTACATTGATGAGTTCATTCCATTTTCAGTCCCTCCACTATAGGATTATTGACATTTTTGGTACTCGATTTTCAATTTTTCCATTTCTAATCCTCGGCTATTGTGTGAGACACACTTTTAGTCCTCGACTTCAATGTTTTCCACATTTAGTCCTCCGAGCATTATAAAGTTGATACTTTTAGTCCTTCTACTATGAATTTGGCACAATAAATGGAGGACAAGAATATCACTATTATAATACTTGAAGGACCAAAAGTGTCACTTTTATGAAGGTTGAATGACTAAATGTGAAAATTTTCAAAGACGGGTACTAAATGTGTCCGTTGCACAATGGTTGAAGGACTAAAAGTGGAAAAACTCAAAGTCGTACCAAAAGTGTCAGTAAGATAATAGTAGGGGGACTAAAAGTGGTAAAAATGCTTACATTGACTGAGCTTATGTAGGTGATATAAAACGCTTTCAATGGATAGTAATACCGGAATATGATTAAATTTCCATAGCATGTCGCATTTTCTTGATATATTTACATTACATATGTTGAATTGTTGATCAATACCGGATGCAATCGTTTGAAATACAATTGGTCGGGAAAAAAACTGATTGCCTTCATGAAACTATTAAGACTTTTAAGTCAGTTTTCAAGATATGCAAAATGAGTTGAAGTAAATCATCCTATATTGAGAATTGAGATAGATTGAATACATAAAAATATGTTATCAATATGAGTTGAAGTAAATCAATAAAAAATATGTTATCACTTTCATATCTATTTTTAACTGTATACAATATACATCAATTTATTGTAAATATTAACAAAAGAGGATTTTCCTACGAATAGAAGAAGCATTTTCAATTACACAAGTCAGGTATTTAAGGAGTGTTTACGATGACTTCGATTTCAAAATATATATTTTAAAGTGATTTTTAGTGAAAGCGTTCGATAACACAAGTTCATTTTTTTTTTGATAAAAATGCTTTAAAAACGGATGATGTTGGATAAAAAGCGTTTTTTTATAACGGAAAAAGCAGTGGCGTCTTTGCAGGAGTTATCATAGGCACCATGCCTAGGGCCCCATCTTCAAAGAGCCCCACTTTTGTATTTGTTTTTCTAAAAATAGTAAATAAAAAGTTAAACAATTAAATAAATAGTAATGAAATTAATAATGATACAAAATAATTCTAGTCTTTGGGAAAAAATTATATCACTAGAGTTTGTTTAAAAAATTTAAATTTTCTTTTTAAAGTAAGTGATTTATTCCTTT